GGGGCGGAGGAGGGAAGGGTCCATGGACAGAAAGAAATACACTTACAAGAATGAGAAAGACACAGAAGTTCTCACCATTGCTACCATCATGGAATGCATTGCAATTTTTTTTAAAATCATCTTTACAACAAAAACGGATAAATGTGATACAGGTGATTAAGAGAATAACATTGCTTATAATTAATGACTCTTCCTTCCTTTTCAAAATCTTTTGACCTTACTGCTGCCTCATGCATTAAGTAGCATCGAAACTGATCACACAAGAAACTAAACAAAGCCACTGAGATTTTAAAATGTCAATAAGGAATACTTTTCTCATTAGTGTTTCTGTAAAAGTATACTCTAAAACACTTAATAAGAACACACGTTTTAAATCAAGCATTCCTACCCTGCAGTTTCCTTTATAATAATTTGAACTTAGAATAAACAAGGCTCGAGAGTGAATAAAAAAGTGTAGAAAGTAACTTTAAGTATTTTACTCCCACATCAACGCACTTTAAACCATTTATGAGACGGGCAATAGAGCGTGAGCACAAATAATGATTTCATGGAAGAAAAGTAAGGCATATGAGCACTAATAAGGGATATCAATCACTGAGATAAGGACAACACCATTCTTGCCTTTCACATGAAAGTCAGCTTCTCCTTAATCCTTAAATGTCCTTGCTACCGGAAGACCGGTCGCTTGTAAAGCTGCTTGTAAGCCTAGCCACCGATACACCGATGAGCAAGACCTTATCTCCAACCCGGCCCGTCTGGGACAAAACGCACACGAAAAACAGTGTTTACTACTCATGATGTTATTGATTATTTTGAAGATCTTTCTCTGAACTAGACGCTGGTAATGATGAGGACTACCCTGAATAGGATATGGAAAATGATTCTGACGATCTTATGAATGTTAGTAATATATATCACTCAGAGAGGCACAGTAGCCTCAGGGAGTCAGGGCTTAAAGGTTATTCAAAGATACAACCAATGAAACAGAAACAACGCCATATTCCGTTTTCAGAGTTTACCCCAGTCTTCCTGTTTGGTAATTGAGCACATAAATTATAAACTAATATCTGAAAAAGGATACAACTTCAAATTATTGATACAATGTTGACAAGACAGTTAGAATAATTGTCAGCAAGAAACACAATTCAGTCTCGTTTTAATATCAGTACAAAATTGACAAGACATGTTCAAGGTAAATATTTTCTACAAAGGATAAGGAAAAAACAATAGGCCTATAAACAGTCTTGTCAATGAAACTAGTAAAGGGTAATCAGAAAGATGTGACAAAATTATGGCATGTTTTATAATTCTTTAAAAAAATCATTCTTCAACTCAATAAGTGAACAAATTAAGCTGTGATAAACTGTCCTGTTGCAACAGAAGCCGTGATATAAAATACATGCAGCAAAAAACGTGTATTAAAATATGAGTGCAACATAACTTAATGTGTTCAAAGGCATCGTTAAAGTTGGCAGGGGAAAATAATGATAAAATGATTAAAGGCAAATATGGTTGAAAAGGCAAAAGCCAAACAATAGGGACAATCGCACCTATTGCTTACAAAGAATGCTCTTTTGGAACTGCGCAATTTCACTGTATTCATTTTAAAATAAAAGGAACAAAACTAACCTTTAATATTTGATGTTACAAAGGAGCTTCGTAACTTTGTTGAAACTCAATGCCATTCTTCTTCTAGATAATTGACATCCTTTTGGAACACAGAACTTTAAAGAAACATAAGACAAGCAAATATTTTTTTTAAAATAATTTTTCAACTCTTGTTCAAATCTATAATTTTCACATTATAGTCTAATTATTCATACCTAACTAAGCCACAGTAGCCAAAAAGATGAGCTTTAAATGCTTAATGAGCTTTTCAAAATTAGAGTTAAATAAATGCTTCTGGTTAAAGAGACTTTCATGAGAAGGAAAAACAACTGGGCGGAGAAAATTAATCTGATAATCTTAAAGCTCAAGTTTGGTGCATGTATTGTGAGTGCTAGATCAGAAATTGATGCAATTTGAGAAAGAGTAAAACTCCTTTTAACAACAAAGAAACATAAGATTTCCGATTCTGTTTCATCGCATGTAAAATCAATTCAATTAAACTGAAAAATAAAAATTATATATAATATATATCTTAATGAATGTATAGGATGCTAAAAAAATTTAAAAAAGGATGCTAGAGGGTAAAAAGATATTCTATGACCACAATTTACGTGTAAATGCTCTGTAGTACTTAAAGCGTTTCACCTCCAGCAGCACTTTGATCTCGGTCACAGACTCTGTCTAAACGTCAGGTGAACCTGACCAAAAACTTGAATTGCTTGCTAGTCAGGAGGTAACATATCACCCTGAAGGTGACATCGAGACAGTTTATTGAAATACTCCCTTGAAAATTTGAAACAACAATTAACCTGCTTGGATGACAATGTGAAAAAAACAAGAAATCAAAGCTGCTTGATGTAGCATCTAATACAAAGTTTAAACCAAATATCATATAGCTAGTTGCTACACTGCTTTGATCAGGTGGGACAAAGACTGTAGGACAAGCTTTCCTTGTACCACTTAGCACCACTGTGCATATATGGAGCAGACATCGAAAAGAAACAACGCACAGAACAAAATACAAATGTAACTGAGAGTTTATAATTTGTTTTTTTTTTAATACATGCTTAGTAAGTGGAAACTTCCACATAATAATCACCTTCTGTTTACAAAGTGCGACATTTTTATGCATCCATCCAGTTTACATCATACTGAGATGGTCTAACTAACAAGGTATACCAAGCCCCACTCTCTACTGAAATGCACACAGTACACGCTACTTCTTATAAGTGCTCAACTTGGTTTTAAAGCTGCCAGTTTTGCTAGAAACACATGTGGAAGTTGAAGCCGGTCGGGTTTGCTGAGACGAGTCAAAATTCTTGTTCTGCAGCACATTTGTCTGCACAACCAAGTCCGGAATGATGCGCTGTCTGCCACTGCCACTTCTCATCAACTTCATGGGTGCAGACACTGCCCTGTTATGAGTGTTATGATTGTTCCTCGAAAGACTCTCGTGGGAAGTGTTCGGGCGCCCTGACGATGTCAAGAGAAAAAATATCATGTACACTACCTTCAAAGCCATCTATTGGTGTCTAGAAACACACTAAACACAGATTAGGAAATGGACGGAGCTGTGAAATGGTCAAAATTTGAGAGTCAGAGGTGGTTACACTTGAGATTTGATAAAGATAATGATAAAGATATGGATAATAATGATGACAACATTTAAATCATCATCATCATCATCATCATCAACATGATGATAATGAAAACGATCATTATAGAGCTCATAATCAAAAGACCCATTCTCTCGCGACAGGAAAAGCTAATACAAACAATCTCTTCTTAACATCTAAAAAAAAAAGTTATAATTTCGGCTTCTATAAACATAAAAGCACTTACTATAAAACAAAAATAATTTCAACCCTTTTGCAAAGATTTACTATCTTCAGTCTAAACAGTACCTTGTGCTCCAAAGTTTGTTTTTGTTTTGTGTTTTCCATTCATCAAAGATGCTATTTCCAACACGAATTTCCACTTTCATGATCCAAGAAAACAGAAGAATACTGCACTTATGATGAATCAGCTTTTTTAAAGCAGTCAACTTAATGTCAAAATTGGTCAAACTAGCGTGCCTGCGTTCGTGTGCATATGTGTGTGTATATATGTTTGAGAGTATGAGGACCTGTGTGTATGTGTATTTGTGTTCATGTGCGTGAGTGTGTGTGTGTGTGTGTGTGTGTGTGTGTGTTTGTGTGTGTTTGGATGAATGTGTGTGTTTGGATGAATGCATATTCAGTAGCACATTCAAATATTTTTAACATTTACTGATGTATATCACATAGGTTCATTTTATATTTCCTGTAAAACACATTGAACATTCTCCCGCTTTCAGCAAAATTGTGCTTATAAATGCAATCGATTATTATAAATATCACTATTATTGGTATTATTATATTATCATTAATACTTCCATAATCATTATCAATATAAATACTATAATGATGACTGTTGCTGTCATTACTAAAATAATCATTGTCATCATTATTATCAAGTTGTTACAATTACAACATTATCTTAATTGTAATAAACATTATGATTATGATTATCATCATTACTTTTATCATTTCGTCGGCCGAGAATTTTAACCGTCCAACTCCAATTTCGTAAATTTTGCAGGAGAGACAAAAAACTGAACTCAAAGGCTCTTATGGGGATTTACTGTTTTTAAATGCGCTAGACTGGAATACATGACTCTACTTTTAAGTATTTAAAACAAAATTGCAGAAATTTTATTATTTTAAGTCCTAAACCAGAATTATACGGATAGACCGCTCAGTTTTGGATTTCTAAGCGTCCAAGTGTCGACGAACGAATTGTTCATTTAGAATTCTCCAACCTGGCGGGGACGCCACGCGCTTCATTACGTCTAACTCAGTCATCGTGACATTTTAATGTTACAGAACAACTCGAAATGACTACACCTGCAGTCAATCCAATAGGAAGCCTACTATAAAAGTTCTAATTAGTACTACATAATACTGTAGAAAGTACCCCCCACTCATACTTTTCTTTATACAAACGGCGGTACACTGCCTGTAAGCTCTGGAAAACAAGTTCCTAGTATAACTTACAGGAGTCCTTCCGGAAAAAATGAGATGGCAACTCGAGCAGATCACGAAGAAACTGTTTAAGTACCGTTGATTCTGTAGTCTCCTCCCTCACCCTTTTTTTGTGAACTGGAACCCCACCCTCCGCTACACCCAACCCATATGTGAGAACATTGTGAACATACTAGTTACAAAGTACAGGACTTAAGAAGAAAGCCTTGCACACTTTGACTCTGGCCCCATTCACTCGCAGATGGTACTTCATGGACCACAATCTTCTGCTTTCTCTCTACTTTTTCTCCACAGGCTCGACACAGTCGACCAACCTTTTAACAAAAGCAGCCTTTTCTGATTTTACATTTATTTATAATCAAACGCCTCCTTCGAAGCAAAACGTTATCGCCGTGATCCACAATGGTAGGCTACCTAAACGAATTAGACGGTTAGAATTCTTCAGTCACGGAAGCCAGTCGGAATATACGGTTAGAATTTCTCTTTAAAACAAGACTTTTGTTTGTCAAAATTGTTCTTGATTTTAATAGGACGTAGCCATTCGTCATGTCGATCTAATTTAAGGAAAAAAGCAATTCAAGAAAATTTCGGAGTTAGACGGTTAGAATTCTCCGCCGACGATTTATTATATTAATGAACAAGGGACATAATTACAGCAATAAAAAACCTAACAGAATTGTAGTTAGCTGGTGATCAGTCATTCAAAAGAGGTTAGCCAGGAAATCTCGTTATCTATTCTACACAGAGCATTTGTAAAGTTCCATTTCATGTTTGAAAGATGTTTTTGCTTGTACAAACATCCATCTTTTGTTGCACAAATATCAGTAAAAGCTACTGGAACAGATTGGCACCAATCCAACATAATAATTCCCATAGCGCTTTTGCTACATGGCAGTCTCTTGAACACGACAAAATTTATATCATGAAAACATGGTCTGCTGTTAGTCCAGACATAAACTGTATCCAAATATTGTGGTACATTCTAGTGTGTGCAGTTTGGGCAACAAAGCCAGCTCCCCAGACATTCAACAAACTCTTTGAATGCCTTGTAGACGAATGGAATGGAGTCCCCAACAAGGCAATATTAAACCATAAAAGGTCAAAGCAAAAATGAGGGGTCGCTCTTATTGACCAAAATGGCGTCCACACCCAGTACAGATCTTTTTCAAAAAAGTGATATATTTGAAGTACGGTAGCACAATTTGCGACTTACTTTTTTTGAGTGACCCCATTTGTAACATCACAGGTTGAAGAGGTTGGAATATTTTAAAGAACTGATTTTTGTGTCTTATTCATCATTAGATTTCATTTCATGTGCCAGACAACATATAACTATTTGTTTCCTTGGCTCTTTTAAGCAAAATTAATGTGTTCTTCTCTGCTCCTGAGTTATAAATATGAACAGTTTCACGACAAAAGGCGACAAACACTACTTTCGAAATTTGGCCAAATCTAGTATCATCGTATCTCGAAAGGTGAAGCACATTCCGAAGCCAACTTTTTTTTTCACAAAACGCAATATTTCCTCATCAAAGAACTGCAGAAAATTGCGCTTTTTTTACAAAATGTGACAGAACGGTAGAGCTTTTTTTGATCCTCGCAACATATCCTCTGCATGTCAATCAAGTTCTTTCCTCGAGTCACGTGACTTCACTTGTGATCGACGAAAGTTTGTCAGCGGTTCTTTCTCTTCCTTATAGTATCAATGCAGATAAGTCGTGTTTTGTCAAAAATGTGTGGAGATCTCATCAATGGATAAAAATGCAACATAGATTTCATCAATTGGCAAATATCAACTAAGCCTTGCATCATGTTTACTCTAAAACCAAAGTTGCTCTATATTATTCAGTAAATGGGGTAAGAATATAAATTTTTAGTTTTCTCAAAACCGGAAAAATGGATATCTCGCATTTAGTCCAGAAACTGTTCACATTATATATATTATATCATATCCTTGCTCAAAAGGAACAACAATTCCAAGACAGATTTTTATTTACTCCAAGAAATTCCAACAACAAAAAGAAAATAGCACACACTTATCCACCTGTACATGATGATACTTACTTCCTGAGTATGGTTTACCAGACTCAACTGGACGGCCTCCATTGATTTCCAAGCTAACCAAGTGAAGCAAAAGAAAATTCTTGATGAAATAATACATTGTTTTTTTCTTCAGCAAGAACAACAAACAGTAGTAACAAATAGAGAAGCGATGGAAACACACTGAGTCACTATGAAGGATTAGTAGTAAACGCTCTTCAAAAAGCAAGTTAGGGAAATGTTTGGCTACTTTATTTGAGAATGATAAATCATCCCTGCCATGGATGTTCACTGGAACACTATCGACAAGCTTGGTCAGATCATGGTTTAAAAATGGGCGAGCATAAAAAACATTGCATCTGAAAGATCTAGAAATAATCTTTGTTCTATGCACTATATGCACAGTATTAAAACAATGAAAAATAAAGAACCTAGTAACTGAATTGACCTTGAAAGTATTTAATTTTTTTTAGCATAACTATTATAAAATACAAGAGCACAAGGCATATATTGACCAAAAGCTAATGTTATACATATTTCATATCTATCTAATGTTATACATATTTTTGTAAGTTCATGGCATTTAGCTGTCTATGAACTTCATCCAAGCAGGAATCACAAGAACAAGAACATTGTTGTCATATAAAGGCAGAAACAAAAAAGCTACAGAATTTGAAAAAAAGGAACGATAGAAAAAATAGCGCTAAAAATGTTGATATTATAGATTAAATAAAACTTTAAGTTCTATATTAAATACTGACGGAAATGGAAAGAAAAAATAGAGGTCACTGGGTTCTTTTAAATTAAATCCCTACCCAATTATATTTGACCACATTTATGACTTATAATTTAGATGCATCCAAAACTTTCAAAACAGCTTTTCAAAATAATGTCTTTATCTCTTTTTTTCCAATTATCTACGTACTGAAAAACTTGGTCGAGATGGAGACTCAAGGACTTAGAGGAAAACAATTTTGATTTTACTGCTAGCAAAATTTTCATCCTAAGACAGATATCAAAAGATAGGATAGAAGTCCATGACACTGCCTGTCCCTGAGGGTCGCTTTAAATTGTGGAGAAACAAATTTTTCTCATTGTTTTTATGGATGTGGTACAAACAGAATACAAGCATAGACTGACATATTCACGGAAACAGAATGTAGGCACTAAGTGGATCACTGAGTAAATATTATCAAGCTTAGGTTCTCACAAGTTGAAAAAAAAAATAATGACCCAAATTGCGGGTCTCATTAGCTGAAATTTAAAAATATAAAAACTGACTCAAGCTGAGGTTCTCATTAGTTGCAATAAAAACAAAACTGACCATTGTGTAGGAAGCCCGATGACCATGGCACGTTTGAAGTCGTTGATGAATTCTGAGTTGATGCGCGGCTCATCTCCAATGTTGTCCATTAGTTTATTGTAGAGGCCAGGCATGTTGCGACACAAAGAAAACAGCAAGCGGTACGCTGTTTTGTTAAAGGTCAGGTACCCCATAGTCACAGCAGCACCATTTCTTACCTGCAGTTCAGAGAAGTGACAAAGATTACAGTCAAAATTGTCTAAGACAGCCACCTATGGTAAAAGAGAAAAGCGGTCGTTTGTCTCAGATATGTAGAAGTCTCGGACAGTGTTTGTATAACGAACAAAAAAAATATGCAAGGGGAGGAGTAGGAAACGGTCATTAGTACTGGTGAATGTCTTCGATAGGTGGCTGTTAGAACAGGAGAACAGGTTCGACTGTTGTTTGATTCTGTCTGATTTGAGAGTAATGTCCTGCTGGATACAGACATGTCTCTTCAAAAACAAAATAGATTACAGACAACAAGAAAGGAGGAAACGAAATAACAAATATCATAAGCCTCAGTCAATACAAATGAAAATTCTCAATGCAATGGGGTTATATCTCCTGCTGGAAAACAATAGGTCTATCCAACATCTTCCTCCTCCTTCCTCCACATATCCACTGGTGCCAGTTGTAAATATAAACCAAACCTATAAACATGTATCACTTTAATTTCCTGACAGTTCTTTACATCCAGCAATACTTACAATTCTCTTCATTCGAGAAAAGTAAAACTGGAAACTTTGAGGTATACAGTGAATGTCCTTTCTATCTTATCTTTTTGGTACAATTTCTGACATTCATTTGAATGGGCCTTAAGAAATATAGGAATTATCAGTTATTTCTAAACATTCTCAACACAAAATTAAATACGCATCATAGAGAGGTAGGCCTACTTATTCTATTTGCAATATTATAATGAAATATGCTGTGCCAACTTGGAATAAACTGGAAGCCCCAAATTCCCTGGCTGTAATTCAGCAAATATGTATTGAGAAGAAAAAAAATCCTTGTAATTGTAAACACTGTCAGATTCTTCACTTAAACCAATTTATTTTTAAAAAGGTAAAAAATAGTAGCAAAGTATTGTATTCCAATTAACAAGGCACAAAAGAAAACAAATCCACAGTCCTGTGTCATACAGAAGTTTCCACTCACTAGATCATTCTCCGAGTCCAGCTTACTGACTAAAAGGTCAAGTGCCCCGGTCGTGATCATAGCATCGGTCAAACCAGCCCTGGTATGTGCCAGGGAGGACAACAGGCTGCATGCTAAAACCACAACCTTGTCCTTGTCAGAACCGATTTTGTCCACCAACATTGTGATGCCCTGGGCGGTCAGAGGCACCTGATCCCGGTCAACAATAACTCTGGCTAGTACCACGATCTGTGCCAGGGATGAACATAACATAAAGTTACAAATAATCGTAATAACAATAATAATAATAATAATAACAGTAGTAGAAGTAATGATAATAACAATAGAATGCATTAACCCCTACGTGACCTATATGATGTACGCCGTGTGTCATTTTTTCTTACACAGCGAACAAGCCAAGATGCTGCTGTGATGTACAGCATTCATTATGCCTTGCTAAGCGCGAGGACCACGGTGACAAACACTGTTCGTTACAGGTTGTATGCTGCATACTGCTTCTATCAGAAGCATTTCGTACAATTAATCGCAGATTCACATTCGGGAGTATTTTTTATGTGCGAAAAAATCTTTTTCTTCTAGTTACTGTTAGTAGTATTTGAAAACTGGGTCTAAATATAGGAAACTGACCACTAAATCTATAACACTACTCTGTGTTCCTGGGGATCCCAAATTGTGCCCCGTGCAGAACTAACTAACCCTGTGTCACAAAGAGGTTAATGTATCACTCTATTCCATACAAGTATTACCTCTGAGTGCTTACAATAATAATTGCAATTATATAGTCCATATATACACAATACTGCATGCTCTAAGTGCTTTACAACTAGATCTATTAGAGCTTTATTTGCATACATGAAATGAAAAAAGGCACTCACTGGTAAGAAAAGGTAAGATAAATCTGCTTTGTCCAGATGCTGACATATTGGTTTGTTTCACCACACACACACACACACACACATGTACACCCACACACATGCACGCACACACACACTCACTCACACACACACACACACACACACACACACACACACACACACACACACACACACACACAAGTGCACGGGCACAAGTGCAGGGGCACATGCGCACGCACACACACACACTCAAAAACAAACACACTCTCACACATCCTCTCTTCTACTCACATCTGTACACATACATATAATATGCTAATACTTACAGACCCACAGTGACATGCATAATATATATGAACAATTATTTATCATTTTCATTTGAGATGAATACACCATCATCATTAAAATCATCATACACTATTGTTCCTCAAAACATTATGAGAGTAACTAAGCTATCAGTAATGGCAATAAAATGGATTATAAATGAAGATTGACAATGGTACTGACAGTGACATTGGCAAACATTATTGATCTCACAGCAGAAATTTGTCCTGGTTGTGAACAACAGCCATTTTGAAAAGTTTGGGGTTTTTTTTCCAACAATCTGTTTTTTTCTCATAACTTCTGCAGACACAATTTTTTTTGGAGCAGACAGGAAAAAGGGTGAATGAAATGGGTCTTTTTATTATGTGTCTTTACATCCCCATCAATACAATTTAGATAATTTAGGAGGTGGGCTTCCAACCCTGCCTGTCGGGGCCAACCCAGGCTGAGAAGGATAACATATCCTGGAAAAAAGACCGAGATACTTGATTAAAAATTTCTCCCCACTCAGAAATTGAACTTGGGTCTCTTGCGTGCAACAGCAAATTGTCTGACCGCTACACCATAGACGCCAGTAAAAAGGGTGAGGGTATATGTGAGTTGGTTAATGTTGAGACAGAAGACCAGTTAATTTATCAGTCTCAAAAAAATATCATCCTGGTTTTCAACTAGTACCTAAATCATGATGGATCAAAAGTTTCCAAAGACTCTGCTACGAAAAAATCTAAACTACAGGACATGGACAAAGTAAAGCTTGAACTTGCCTATCTACTGAGTGCTTAAAGACAAAACTTACAACTAGTAAAGTGTTCTCAATACGACTGTAGAAAACGGTACTCAGACATTAACTTCTTATTTATGGCAAGCCGGCTTGCGGTCCGAACCGCTGTGCCGGTGAGCCTCTGGTAGTACCTCGGGGACATTCCTCTACGAAGACTTCAATGTCAAATTACTTTTCAACAATTGCCGAAAACAGGTCTCTTTTAGGGGCTGTTCAAATATAATCTTACACCTTTTCGGGACATTTTGACCCCCCCCCCCTTCTTACACTTTTCTTACATTAGCAACTTAGTGTTAACATTAATGTAGCTTTCTCATAGACCTTTCACAAGACAGTAAAAAGGCACAGATGATTACTGGAAGTAAGGCAACAACACTTTTCTAACGACTGACCACTTTAATTTTCACGTCGAAAGACATATCAGTACCCAAATGAAGAGGTATAAATGAAAGGAGGGCTTCAACTTTATTGGTTACCTTGAAGGTGGTGAGGAAGGTTACAAATTTAATCTGCCATGCAAATGGTCAAGGTTTAAATCCCTGCCAGAGGCATATCCTTTTTCACATCCTCATTTGAATATTGCTTATCAGATGTTCTGATGCGTGACCAAGCTCTCTTGCAATCTAAATCACCCACATTAAGCCACTAATAAAAACAGTCAGGAAGAAACGATGGCAGTTTCTCAGACACTTGACTTAACATAAAGGCTTTGAAAATCTTGCTCTCACTGTAAAAATAGAGGGCAGACGAGGCAAGGGTAGACCCAGAGCAACCTATTTGGAAAACCGTAACAGATGGGTGAGCGGAAAGACCAGAATAATATTGTTTTTCGAGAGCATTCAAGCGGAGAAATGAATCGTAAACCATGATAGTTAATGTCTGTTTATGAGCTGGCACTTTATGATGATGACGATGAAACTTAACAGGGCATTTGACATCAACAATAACATCACCTGGAAGGCAGCATAGCATTGGTAGAATTCATCTTGGGAGTTCACAAACTTCTCAAAGATGCTGTACTTTATGCCCCCTGCCTCTCGGATAGCAAACTGTTGTGGTGTGTTGTTGAAGGCAAAGATTGTCAGAGCCATGCCTGCCCGCAGCTGAGTTTCCTGCCAATGAGAAACAGAATTGGGGTAAAGAAAGCTCTAAAAAAGCAGTCGGACAGGCTGAAACTGCAGGGAAATTGCCAAGATTAAAAATTTCTTATAACTCTAGGGATAAGTAAACAACTGAACTCACTAAGAAAATATAATATTCTGTTTTGCAAAAAAGTCCGCACTTTTTCCAGAAAATGGTAAAAACACTCAGTGCAATACTCCAGTTAAGTCTGAAGATAAAAATAAAGCTAGCAGCTTGAAATTTAAAAAAACACAACTATTAAAAACTACTGAATTAGCCCCTTTTGATTTTCATTCACAGCTTTTCCCTTTTGTCATCAAATAGAATACAGAAACCTACCTGATCTTTTGATTTCAACAAAGCTAACAGAATGTTAAACTTGAACCCTGGCTCTTCCTGAAGTTTCTCCTGATTTTCTTTGTTGCTGAGCACAACACAGCCCAAGGATATGGCCACTTCCACTTTGATTTCGTCATTAGGAGGGTGGATAAGGAGGTGAACAAGAACTGGGATCCCTCCTTCTTCAGCAATTTTCCTCTGAGTCACTTTGTTGTTCCGGTAAGCCACACCTGATGAGCATGTGTTTATTTGTGCATTTACGTGGTAAAATGTAGCTTCAGTATAGTCCCTCATACTAGTTAACTACTGACACAATATTATCTTTGAGCATTAAGTGCTTAGAGCTTTTACTTGTATAGGATAGAGCACTATATAAATATGCTATTTATTTTCAGCAGCAGTAGCAACAGCAGCAGTAGTAGTTAGTATCATTTCACAAAAAATAGTACTTAAAAAAAAAAAGATTCTTAAACCCATCAGAATAGGAATTGTCTTAATTAAACATGACCTATTAGTATTAAGCAATCTGTATCATTCATACAAAAGGTGGACTCCCAGTCTTAAGATCACAGGAATCTGATCCCGGTGTCGTTAGATAAGACAATAAATCCAAGGGCTGGAACTTTGCCATAATTTCTACTTGCTAGTCCTTTGATTGGGACAGGAATAAGAACATGATAGCGTTTGATCACTTAGCTGCTACCACTCTAAATACACCAAAAGGGGCTGAGGTGGTAATATGGAATGAACATGTCTGCCAGCAAAGTTATGCTATAGGCATGAAAACCTTCAACTGGAAGGGATACAAGACTAAAAACTAGCTCTTTAAGTTTAACATTAGAGGCATAGTGCTTTTACAAGTTATCACATACCAACACATAGTATTCCCAGAACTTTGATGACCATCAGCAGGACTTTCTCCGATGTCTTTGCCGAGCGTAAAAGTCTTACCAGTTGTTGAAAAGCATCTGCAGAAGCTAATTTGTTCTGACTAGCCATGTTTTCATAGCCCAAAGCTATGGCTGTCATACAACCTGAAAAAAAACAACATAATGATAAAGTATATCTTTCCAAAATTATTATCATCATGTTTCCAGTGTTTAGTTTTAGTAGACTTTTTACGGCGCTTGCAATTGCATAAGGTCATATGAAAATCTTCTCTAAACATAATGTCTGCTTGACTGATGCCAGTATTTTCTCACTTCAGCTCATAGTCTGAATAGAAACAATCCTTATTCAGACTATTACTATTTTTGTAGTAGAACCTTTGAAGGCATATTTTAAAACACTGTGGAGAATAGTCAAGGTGAAGTGTAATCATTCACGTACATTTTGCATACAAAAAAAACTGCTCTAGTAAAGTCAGCATAAGTATTTTGTAAAACTGCCTTTTGCCATTAAGCAAAGAAGATACATCTGATCTGAATAGAGTCGAATATCATTATATTCTAGATAATAAATTTCTTTGACAATATTATAGTTGTTATTGAGTCATGATTTACAACAGGTCCACACTATATATAATAGCCAGACTTTGAGAATGGCAATAACAATCTTTATTTCTCTCACAGGGAGAAATTTGGCTTGGTCATTTACAATGGCAGTGGTGTTAGAAGGGTAATAGATACTCACACATACACAAAACATAAAAGGTCTTAAATACATGTAATCTCTCTCTCTCTCTCTCTCTCTCTCTCTCTCTCTCTCTCTCTCTCTCTCTCTCTCTCTCTCTCTCTCTCTCTTTCCCTCTCTCTCTTTCTCAGTAGAAGACAAAATCAGATTGCTCACAAAACACTCGCAGAGGGAGAGAGGACAGGAGACATACGATAGATGTTCACGTATAAGCTTTATATGAGTGCCCTTTACACCATCACTAAAATAGATGTTCATTGCCCTTTCCAACTCCACTTTGCCTTGTCCTCGCAGCACAAACAAGTAACAAACAAAACATAAAAAGCAAAACCAGACAGATACTACAAGACAAACCAAGAGGATGAAGTTAGAACACATTGTCTTGTTTTGCGACATCTTCCTAGGTCTACATATTCTTCTCCTCCTCCTAGGGATAGTTACCTTTGGCTTTCAACTGCTGAGTTATGTTAAATGTACCCCATATGCACAAAAGACCTCCGAGTTCTTCATCCTTATTCAAGAAATTTAAATCCTTAATCCTTCTTATACTTGGATCGTAGGTGAAAAAAAAATAAAATAATTGAAAAAAGACTCTAGTCCTCCATTAACTATGTTTGTACGAGCTGGGAATCACCCTACATACTTTGGCATGACAAGCAAACACTAGTGTAGAAGAGTCGAGTTCTGAATGCAAATTTGTTAAATTGCACAAAAAAACAAGCTCTCATTTCTAACATCCCCAAATACTCAAGCGTATAAATTAATTACTTGCTGCATCAGACTGCAGGTGGACAAAGGTTCACCAGTACATCACAAAGGTTCATTATTAGCTGCTCTTTTACTCAGTCACTGCTTGTTTGTGACATCATAAACGAGCAAGCGAGCAGAGTCAGTGACGCTGATCGGAACTGTGCACCCAGGTCAGCTCGCTTGCTCGCTCACAACATCACAATATCACAATCATTAGGCCTAGTACGTCGTGCAACCACTCATTGTCTACGAATTGCAGTCCCACGAGCACCCAATGTGGTGAACCTGGAGGCGTCAATGATACACCTTGGGCCTATAGTGACTGATATCAATTAATCATCTAACCCAGTGCCAGCAAACTGGCTTACTCATCTTTTTAGCATACCGTCGACTGCGCTTGCAGGTATTAATAAAAATAATATTTTGTCAGTCAATGTCTGACAATGACCAATGCATATGCAGAGGAGAATATTTCTTAAAGAGACATAGAAGAAATAAAGGTTAAGATGATTTTTGGTTTCCGCTATGGCAAAAAAAACCCAATTCTGACAAAGAAGAGTCCGCCACAGTTTGAACATTTAAAAACTTCATTTCCACTTGTGGATATGCACAGCTTGCAGGCTTCTCTCTTAGCTTCAGTATTTCTAATTCATAAAGCCTCATGCTCAAGTGATTCGCTGCCCTCTGTAATGCTGCTCTCCAATGATAAGATGAGAGCTCACAGGTAACGGATCAGTATCCAGCACTTCCAACGTCATTAGCAAACACTTTTCCATTAGACAAACAAGCACCCTGGAACACAAGTAACAACCAAAAATTCACTTCAATACAAACCAACATATAGAAGCTTCTCCGTAGCTTCTAGCAGCATCTGGATGATGTGTGGAATGGTGATGCGTTCAGCAATGTACTTCTGCTGTGTCTTGGTGTTGCCAGCCAGAGACCACAAGGCACAAGCGCCTTGTTCACGCACTTCAACAAAGACATTCTGAAAAGTAAAACCATCAACTTCTTTCATTAAACTTCTCAAAAAAATATCATCAACTTCTTTCATTAAACTTCCCAATAAAATATCAGCTTCTTTCACAAGCGCCTTGTTCACGCACTTCAACAAAGACATTCTGAAAAGTAAAACCATCAACTTCTTTCATTAAACTTCTCAAAAAAATATCATCAACTTCTTTCATTAAACTTCCCAATGAAATATCAGCTTCTTTCATTAAACTTCCCAATAAACCAAAATCTGAAAGATTTGTAGTATACTGGAAAAGGAGAATAGAAGCAGCTGCTTAATGTAACATATAAATTTTGTTTTATGGCATATTGACAAAATATCATCATCATCATCAACATCATCAACATCATCATCATCATCATCATCATCATCATCATCATCATCATCATCATCATCACCATCATCACTGCCTTTCTCACCCTGCATCAGGGTAAAGGCCACTTTCCTTCTTTCCCTATCCTGACTAGTCTCTTGATATTATTCTATGTCTCCCACTTTTCTGTACATCATTCTGTGATATTGATAAACAACTGTTTTCTACACTTCCCACTAGAAACCCAATACATATGTGCATTATTGGACAAGGCATCATCATTAAATCAAAGTAAAAAATCTTGCAAATAGTATTCTGACAATCAGATGTCTTTTAGTATAATGCACTGACTCTTAACTATAAAAGTTTCCACAACTGAAGTATAAAGATAGATCTTAAGCAGTTACTTTACTATTTATTCAGTAATTCATTACTTTCAACAAACAAGAAAGACTGACAGCTAAGATAGCTAAAATTCTTTTTTTTTTTTAATTGATCAATTTTTAAAGGAAAACAAGAAAGTTTTTTTAAAAAACATAATGACTGCACTCCACCTTCAAGAGTCGAATCAAAGCTTTCGGAGCATCCAGTTCTAGGAAGCGCTTCTGACTGTAAGCATTGTTTGTAGCCAGAGCCTCCACAGCACTGGCAGCTTTCACCTGCACCGTTGTGCTACGGCTGCATCGGATCAGTTCCACTAGGGGTCTGAAGTAATAAAACAACAGCATGTTGGGCTCATGGACTGAGAGTTTCTTACAAAGAACTGCAAGGAATATGATAATAATATGATTTTTACCATAATCTTTTAAGTATACAGTCAAAATTGTCCTAGATGACTATCTATTGTCAAGGAGAAAAAGTGATTGTCTTAGACAGGGGGATGTCTTGGACAGTGTTATTTTGATAAAGAAAAAAATACAAGGGAGAAAGTGAGAAGTGGTCGTTTGTACAGTTGATTGTCCTGCATAGGACAGGTGCACATTAGAGCAGGTTCTACTGTCTTTCCTTATGCCACATTTAATAACTCCAGCCAAACAAAGCTTGAACCCTAATTTTTGAAGAAACGACCAACTTTGGGGGAAATATTTTTTAATTCATCCCAGGAAAAGCTAGAAAAGCCTAACAAAAAAGACAAAAATAAAGAAATTAAGTATCATCACAGGAACACTTCTATCAACAGAATTTAAAGCACTGACCTTTAGAACTCTGAATGCAAAAACTCAAAGAATAATGTCTGATAATAACACACACAACAGAGCAAAAGTAAAAATGTTCTACATACTTGTGAGCATTGTCTTTGATCACAGCATTCTGGTTCTCAATGTTCTTTGCCGTGACGGCAGCCAGAGCAGCAGCAGCACCAGCCTGAAGGTCTTCTGCATGTAGAAGATGGAAAAGAATGAGCAAAAACAAGAGCAACAAACACCATTTGTCTAACGATGCGGTGGAATCAGGCGCTCATCAATTTTTTGGCATCTGGAGTTATTGGTATCATCTTAAAGCCTGCCCATTTGCCTTGCTTTCGAGGGAAAAAAATATCCATTTATCGTGAACGCAAGTTAAGATATTTGCGATGGAAAAAGGTGGGGGTCACTTGGTTTCAGAGGTAAACTTAGCGAGAAAATGGCTGCGAGAGTTTAATTATTTCCGCGAGAGTTTAATCATTTCCGTAGCTTGAGAGTCTGTGGAAACTTCCAATTTACATTTTTTATGTCTTTAATCAACGTTTTTCAGTAAAAGCCACACAGAAATGTGTTTTTTAATGGGCATGAAAGATGTTGATCCAAAAACCAAAATTTGATAAAAATTCCCAAACCTGCGGAAAAATGCCAGTTTCTTCACATTCATTTTTTTGACGAGCGCCTGATTTCACTACGATGCCTCACATTTGGTCTTGAACGCTATAGTGCAATAATCTCTCGTGGGTGGTTGGTGGGCTCCCCGGTGTGGTTTGTTCATTCTTTCCGATTCAACAGCTATCATCCCTATCTTTCCTCCTTCTCATCTTTGTATGTTATGCCCTAGTAACACTTCTTACCTCCAGCATCTATATGACCTAATAGTGTGGCAAGTGCCGAAAAACTCTTACTAAAAATGAACTTAAAACAAGAATCTCTGAGCGTTTAATCACAATAACATAAAAGCCTTTTAATTTATCATATTTCTTTGAATCTACCAATCAAGAGTTGACCTAAGTGTACTATGAGTAACATTCCTTTTATAAAAAAGAAAATACAAAAATAACATCATTATACATCTTTTGCCTGTAGTGTTAAGCTCTTCTACAACCACATAGAAAAAACTACTGCAGCCTCTCAGCTATTTGGTTGCAAGTGTTTTTACATGAATATGTCTTCTTGTGATCATGGAAAATCAAAGCACTAAAATTAAAGTAAGGGAAAGAAGGGCATATTTTTTTGCTACACCAAACCATAATGCTAACCACTGGTTTTCCCCATTCATTAAACTAAAAAAACACAAAGAGTATAAATATGAAAAGAAAATTTATAATAAAAATTGTATTTCTCTTCCGCCCTCATCAAATTAAAGAAAAGCCACCTATCTCTTGAATTTATTTGACCTCAAACTAATAAACAATCACACACACACACACACACACACACACACACACACACACACACACACACACACACACACACACACACACATCTTACACTCATCATATCATAAAGTGCCAAATCTGGAACAAACATAAGCGATCAGGGTTATCCATTTATCTCTCTGCTCAGATGCTCTTAAAAAAAACTACATCATCCTATTGTTTACTCGTCACCCATCCGTTCAGGATATCCAAATAAGTTGTTGTAAGCCCACCCCCAGGCCGAAGGGCTAGAACCCAAATGGCCGCAGGATCGGAAAAGTAAAAGTAAAGTAAGTCCATCCCTGCTGTGTTTGCCTTTAATTTTTCCATTGAGAGCAAGATGTTCAAAGCTTTTATGTCAAGTCAAGTGTCCCGGAAACTGCATTTGTCTACCTTACATTAACAAAACAATAATACAATTGAAATTGACCTAGATGGCACCCATTTTCGTGGAGAAAAGCGATTGTCTTAGATAGGTGGACGTCTTACACAGTGTCATTATATTAATTTTTTTTAATCTAAGGGAGGAAATAAGAACTGGTCGTTTGTACAGATAATTGTCTTATACAGATGGCTGTCAAAGCAGGTTTAACTGTAGTTTCAGTTTCATTTTCCTTCTTTCTCACCAGATTTGACATCCAAGAACTCAACCAATGGCTCCAGACCCCCGCACTGGGCAACAGCGTCCTGGTTACACTGGTTGCCGTTGCACAGCACACGAATGGCATTGACAGCATTCACAAGCACATCCTCTAGCTCCGAGTCCAGAAGGTTCACCAAGGGAGCAATGCCACCATTGTCAGCAATCAAAGTCTGGAAACACAAAGCAATAAAACTAGAAGTTTCTACTTCACCTTACA